TACCGACAATTTTGTCTATTGTCTTGTCCACTCAATGTAAATGTTCCCTTGTCGGAAAAAATTATATTTTTGATACAAAAACCAGTAATATTTTGTTTCTTGAGGTTGCGATTCTGTAAATCTTAAATTCTGTATAAATCAATTTTTTTCTTAAAGCTAAATAAAATCCTTAAATCTAAATCTTTAAATTTAAATTTACAGCTAAATTCTGTATAAACCCGGCTTATCTTGATCTTCTACGAGCTTTAGAGTCGTGATTCTTTATTAAATGGTCATTGGAAGATTCAAATTCTCTGTTTGACCTCGTGTTTCGTTCAGTATTAGGTGTTGCGTTTTCATATTTCATTAGCCGAACTGCAATATGTGATTTAAAATCCAATTGTGCCATTTTAGTATTATTGACAGTATTGTATAATTTCCACGCGTTTATTATGACACTATCCAATGAATTAATAAATAGTGGCCACCACCACTTCTTTCCTAATACTCTTGTTCTATAGTTGGCTATTCCGTTATCGTGTAAATCTACACCACCCATGAATTTATTATATTCTGATACCGCATAAGGTTGATTAACTAGTGTTTCCTTTTTTTTCTTTCTGTTGTACCTCTTAATTGATTGTATTGGCTCCACATTCAAATGGTTAGTAATTACAGTGACAACGGAGTTATCATTCCATCGTACTAAAGAAATTTTTGAACAGGTATCATAAGCTGTATCAAAAAAACCCCTTTCCTTCTTTGAAGTACATTTTATGTTTTCTAACAGACAATTTTTCGTTCTGTTATCGCGTACAGTACCGGTAGCAAAAAAAAACTTTATTTTTCAATTCAACAAACAAATCAAACGATGAAAAAAAATTGTCAAAAACTATCCGATGAACATAAGGATTTTTCACTACAGAGAGTAATTGCATAACTACTTCACCACCCAAGCCTAATTTTGATTTTCCCGTTTTCATTGCGGCTCCAGCGTAAGGTTCATAGTGAAATAAATATCCGTCAGATGAACATAAACACCAAATATTAGATATAGAAGAGAAGGAAAACAAAAAACTTCAGTTTTTTGGCCTCAAAAGATGAACCGTATAAATTTTTATTTTTATGTGTTACACGTGTTTCGACTCTGAAGTCATCTTCGGACACAACTACGAATTTACAAAAATTAAGAGGAGTGAAATTTACGAAAACTTATTAAATATATTACCGTCAATTAATTGGACCACATGTTGAAACTTGAAATGTTATATAAAATTTTTGAAAAATCTGTTAACAATCAAAAATGAAAAGTGAAAAAAAACTACTTAAGAAATATATACTAAAAACTAACTAATTATTTAAAGTTATTACCTGTTAGACACATTTTCTTATTTAATCACGCTGTAAAATTTGAGGTTATGTTTAAAACTATTACGTATTAAATATTTTAAGGCCAAAAACGATATTTAAGATGATTATTTTATATGAAATGAATAGAAAAGTTTTTAAATTTTGAAATAAAAGGCCGAAAATATATAAAAATTGAAAAAACCAAAAAAAATTAAAACTAAACTTAATGTGATGTCGACATCTTGTGTTATAACGGACCGTTGCGAATCTTACAATTAGTACATTTGACACGCAAAATAGATGCGCGCGCAAGCGCAGTTTAAATTTTGAATATTTGTACGAATTTGAACATAAGAAAAAGACTTTTCCAAACAAAATTAAAAAAGGAAAAGAAAAAAGGCAAACCGCCCCGGATCGCGACGGTGCGGAGGCTGCAAGGAACAAACATGCAACCTCCCCACCGCAGGAACCCTAGGCAGTCAACCCTTGAGCACATCTTATGAATAATCTGTTTTTGTTAATGTCGGTAATCTCGTTGATGACAAGAAGTGGCGTTTCCCTTTCCGCTTTCCATATGTAAAATTCTTCATAAAGATCCATTTGTTTAGATTTGTTAATTTGTTGTAGAAGTGAAATATTGTTTTTATTAGTTGA